AATGTGTGAAAGAGGGGAAGGTACCTAGGGATTGGAGGAGAGCATGTATAGTCCCTTTATATAAAGGGAAAGGGGACAAAAGAGATTGTAAAAATTATAGAGGAATAAGTTTACTGAGTATACCAGGAAAAGTGTACGGTAGGGCTATAATTGAAAGAATTAGAGGTAAGACAGAATGTAGGATTGCGGATGAGCAGGGAGGCTTCAGAGTGGGTAGGGGATGTGTAGATCAAGTGTTTACATTGAAGCATATATGTGAACAGTATTTAGATAAAGGTAGGGAAGTTTTTATTGCATTTATGGATTTAGAAAAGGCATATGATAGAGTGGATAGAGGAGCAATGTGGCAGATGTTGTAAGTATATGGAATAGGTGGTAAGTTACTAAATGCTGTTAAGAGTTTTTATGAGGATAGTGAGGCTTAGGTTAGGGTGTGTAGAAGAGAGGGAAAATACTTCCCGGTAAAAGTAGGTCTTAGACAGGGATGTGTAATGTCACCATGGTTGTTTAATATACAGTGGACCCCCGCATAACGATTACCTCCGAATGCGACCAATTATGTAAGTGTATTTATGTAAGTGAGTTTGTACGTGTATGTTTGGGGGTCTGAAATGGACTAATCTACTTCACAATATTTCTTATGGGAACAAATTCGGTCAGTACTGGCACCTGAACATACTTCTGGAGTGAAAAAATATCGTTAACCGGGGGTCCACTGTATTTATAGATGGGGTTGTAAAAGAAGTAAATGCTAGAGTGTTCGGGAGAGGGGTGGGGTTAAATTATGGGGAATCAAATTCAAAATGGGAATTGACACAGTTACTTTTTGCTGATGATATTGTGCTTATGGGAAATTCTAAAGAAAAATTGCAAAGGTTAGTGGATGAGTTTGAGAATGTGTGTAAAGGTAGAAAGTTGAAAGTGAACATAGAAAAGAGTAAGGTGATGAGGGTATCAAATGATTTAGATAAAGAAAAATTGGATATCAAATTGGGGAGGAGGAGTATGGAAGAAGTGAATGTTTTCAGATAGTACTTGGGAGTTGAAGTGTCGGCAGATGGATTTATGAAGGATGAGGTTAATCATAGAATTGATGAGGGAAAAAAGGTGAGTGGTGCGTTGAGGTATATGTGGAGTCAAAAAACGTTATCTATGGAGGCAAAGAAGGGAATGTATGAAAGTATAGTAGTACCAACACTCTTGTATGGATGTGAAGCTTGGGTGGTAAATGCAGCAGCAAGGAGACGGTTGGAGGCAGTAGAGATGTCCTGTCTAAGGGCAATGTGTGGTGTAAATATTATGCAGAAAATTCGGAGTGTGGAAATTAGGAGAAGGTGTGGAGTTAATAAAAGCATTAGTCAGAGGGCAGAAGAGGGGTTGTTGAGGTGGTTTGGTCATTTAGAGAGAATGGATCAAAGTAGAATGACATGGAAAGCATATAAATCTACAGGGGAAGGAAGGAGGGGTAGGGGTCGTCCTCGAAAGGGTTGGAAAGAGGGGGTAAAGGAGATTTTGTGGGCGAGGGGCTTGGACTTCCAGCAAGCGTGCATGAGCGTGTTAGATAGGAGTGAATGGAGACGAATGATACTTGGGACCTAACGATCTGTTGGAGTGTGAGCAGGGTAATATTTAGTGAAGGGATTCAGGGAAACCGGTTATTTTCATATAGTCGGACTTGAGTCCTGGAAATGGGAAGTACAGTGCCTGCACTTTAAAGGAGGGGTTTGGGATATTGGCAGTTTGGAGGGATATGTTGTGTATCTTTATACGTATATGCTACTAAACTGTTGTATTCTGAGCACCTCTGCAAAAACAGTGATAATGTGTGAGTGTGGTGAAAGTGTTGAATGATGATGAAAGTATTTTCTTTTTGGGGATTTTCTTTCTTTTTTGGGTCACCCTGCCTTGGTGGGAGACGGCCGACTTGTTGAAAAAAATAAAAAAATTTGGTTTGGGATGCACAATCTACTAAACGTAAGGTAACCTTGTTATAGACTGATGTAATAAGAGTGAGAGTTGAACTGAAGAATGTGTGAGGTAGCTAAAACACAGTAGCATGAAAAGGAGAGATTAGTCTTTGAAAAGACACCTAAATATATTATTTCAGGAATAAATACAGTGGTCCCTCATTTATCGTCCTTAATCCGTTCCTGGAAGTGCGACGATTATTGAAAAAGACGATTTTTGAATCAATTTTCCCCATAAGAAATAATGTAAATACAATTAATCTGTTCCTGACACCCAGAAGTATTAAAGTAAAAATTTTTTTTACATAAAATATAGATGTAGTACATAAACAATACAATGGGACATGATGAATGAAACATTAACAGCATAACACTTACCTTTATTGACGATTCTTCTTAGTGTATGGAAGACTGGAGGAGGAGAGACATTGGATTAGTTACTGTTTGGAAGGGGAATCCCCTTCCATCAACACCTCAGGTACCAAGTGCTTTTCTGGGGTTACTTCTCTTCTCTGTTTCTTAATGCCACTAGGACCAGCTTGAAAGTCACTGGAGTCCTGTCTCACAAAAAAAGTGTCCAGAGAGCTCTGTTTCTGGCATCTCTTTAAAACTTCCCTAAAATGAGCCAAGACTCTGTCACTGTACAAGTTGCTGATATGGCTTGCAACATCCTTCTCAGGGTGATGTTTCTCCATAAATCTTTCCGTCCTACCCCACATTTCGAAAATCTCCTTAATTTCTGAAGAAGGCACCTTCCATCTCTCTTCCTCCTCCTCTGCAGCAAGATTCTGAGCTGCGATCTGTTCCTGTTGCTGCTGAAGCTCTTGCAGCTCCTCAGTGGTTAGCTCTTCCTTGTGGTCCTTCACCAACTCTTCCACATCCTCCAAACTCACATCACATCCAACCCCATGGAACTCCCCAGTGCCACAATAGAGTTCACAAATGACATAGGCTCATACGCCACTTTCATTTTGTTCACTGGTGTTTTCCTTATATTCAATCGTATTTCTCACTTTACCAAAGGCTTATTATTTAGCACTTGCAAGCACTAAACTGAATGGAATATTATGAAATATTTCGTATGAACAAGTGAGGGGACCGTCTCTCACTGGTAAACAATGGCACACTGGCTGGGAAGGGAGGCCAAGGCGGCTCAGAGCGTGAGTACGCATCCCGGACAAAGGACGATTAGCGAGTAAACTGACCATTTGCGAGCCAATGTTTGGACGAGAATAACATGACGATTCTGGAAAAGGACGACTATCGAGCCGGACGATTATTGAAGGACCACTGTATAGACTTGAATCTGGATAAAATTAAGGTAACTACCATTCATATGATCATTCTGTACCATTTGTGTACCATTCTGAAGACATGTTAGGCAGTATGTACATACGTTAATAATGGCAAATTGTGATCACTACGCATGATATTTATGTAATTCTCTAACCATTGGAAATATCTAGATATGTTAAATAAAATTCTGGATTGGTTTTGTTTGGAAATATCGAGATAGGTTAAATAAAATTCTGGATTGGTTTTGTATCCAAATTTTTGCACATAAATGGACTAGATATTTTATTCTTTAACCCTTTCAGGGTTGCCAGGCCCTCTCTGAGACTTGTTCTCAGGGTCGCCAAATTTTCAAAAAAAAAAAAAAAACGTATTTTTTCTTTTGAAAAGATAGAGAATCTTTTCTCGGTCATAATGACACCAAAAGTATGAAATTTGATGGAAAACTTATGGAATTGTGCTCTCGCGAAGTTAGCGGTCTCGACGATGTTTACGCATCGGCGATTTTGCCCACTTTGAGCCCTATTTTTGGCCAGTTCCAGTGTACTAGTCAACAAAAATCATTACTATTTCACTAGAACTCCATTTTTTCTATCGAATGAGTACAAGAAACCACCCATTTACCGATTTCAACTATCCAGTAAAACGATGAGAATTTATCAATTTTGCCAGTTTCACACAAATTTCAAAAGATGTCAATTTCCGAATAGGGTCCAGAATAAACAAGAAAGACGTTCCTGGCACTAAAATAACATTTCTTCTGTTCATTAGTCACGTCCCCATGCCCCTCTTACATTCTTTTGCTTTCCACTTTGAATTTTTATTCTCACAAAAAATAGAAGATTTGCTGTTATGCAGACTACTGCATTAGTGTAGAAATGGTATAAATAATATCAGCGCACTTGTGAAAGAATATTAGACTCACCAGTTGACGTGTATTGGACGCTTGGCATGATTTGTTTACTTTTGAACTTTGGTAAAAATCGAACATTTCTGCTACTTTGAGCTCAATTTCAAGGTACTTTTCATTGTAAAACCAGTCAAAATCATCTTGATTTCTGTAATATGTCTTCCATTCTATAAAATGAGACCAGGAAAACTGGAATACAACAATAAATACCATACGAAAATACAGTGCAAAGTCGCTGTTTTAATCCAAAAACACGGTCAGTTTTTTTTTCTCATTACGCACTATGTGCTGCAGGATTTTTTTATACTGTGCACACTGACCACATAGACCCATTCTTTCATATGTAGGCCTACCAGCTTTCTCTCACTAGATTTGAGGGCGCTAGAATTTAGGCGTACTAGTACGTCAAAAACCCTGGTGCGTAAGCCGTACTAGTACGTCCGAAACCCTGAAAGGGTTAAAGGACAAGAGGAGTGGTCCGTGTACAGTAACAGACTGAGATGGAATAACTCTGATAATGAATTACCATATTTTACGGCATCGAAGGTGCTATTTTTTTCCCAAAATACGTCTCAAAAATTTACCCAATATTTTGCAAGTCAAAGTATTTTTTTTCCTCCCAAATTTAGCCAGTTAAATTTAGGGGTTGGGGGTGCCCTCGTCACTGGAGAGTCTTGTTTGCCATTAAATATGGTATGATGCCGAGGGATTGGTGTAAATTGGTAATGTAACAAATATTTGCCAATTTTTCCATTAATGTATAAATTCTTAATTTTTTTTTTTATGAAATTTTAGTTTTATGAAATTCAACATTCTCCTTCTCCCATCAGAGCGGCTGCCTTTCAGCATCAGGGTCTTGCTCGAGTCAGCTGTCCGAAACTGTGATAACTTCCAGGTGAGGAAGAGCCCTCTACATGTTTTTTTGGTTTTGAAATTTCCTCGGAAAATTGAACCCTTGTGAATAGTTGAAAAAAAAAAATATGCAATATAGTATGTTGTATACTATGCTTTTTATCAAAGATAATTAAGATTTGTTTTTATATCATATAAAAATATAGTACCTGCCTTGAGTAATCAGTTTCAGGGAAAACACAAATTCTAGAAATTATGATATTTTTATTTGTCAGTCTGAATGATTATATATTTTTTTTCAGAATGTACATACGTAATTGTTATTAAATTACATGACCTTTATTTCATACTTTTTTTATAGCCATGGGTTATACAAAGAATTTTGACCCGACTAAACCACTGTTATATGGATGCTGCATATCATATAACAGTGGTGATACTACTATACTACGGTACATTTTCCTTTTTTGTCTCCTTTTTTTGACTCCCCAGATGCCTCACTGCACCACCCACCTTTTCTCCCCTTGTCACTTACATGGTTTACAACATCTTACATAAACTTATCTGCTAACAAGTTCCCTCTCAAATATCTGAGCACATACTCCTCTCCTTCAGTCTGAATTTCAATATTTCATTGCCTAGACTTTTTATTAATTTCATCAGTTTCTTTCCTAAGTTCACTTTTGATTTCCTTTGACATACTCTCTGAAATTCCTCCACCAACCTTCTCAATTTCTCGTCAGAATCTCTCAAAAGTTACATAGGCAAAGAACAGCTGTGACAACTCCCAATTCATTATCTTTTAATCAAACACCTCTCCTCACTGTATCCTAATACAGTGGTACCTTGACTTAAGAGTGCCCCCAACTTACGAGTTTTCCAAGTTACAAGCCGTCATTCAGTGGATTTTTTGCTTTGAGTTGTGAACCAAAATCTGAGTTACGAGCGAAAAAAAAATATTTCCTGAAAAAAAAAAATATTTACTGAAAATGACATTTGGCAAGAACCCCGACCTAAATGGCACAACGAAAGGTGGTTTTGGGACTTGGTACTTATAAAAGAATGCTAGTGTGAGGTTCTCACTGGAGGTAATCGTGTAATTATCTTTAGTTATTCTACAAGAAAATAAAGTTGCTAAGTTTTTGACATTTGCAAAATATCTTACCCTTTACTCCCACACAAATCCCAGTATATTTGGAATATTTCCAATATTCCACAAGTCAGCTGTAGAATAAATTTTTTTTTATGATTCCTGTCAATATTATTTTATTTACTTCAAAAATAAATGGTGGGCTTCATGAAATAAGTCAAAAACTTACTTCTGAGATATTTATATAGCACTGTCCTAGTGATCTAGTGCACTTAGCCTCTCAAAAACTCTGTTTTTACTTGCCCAGGACCAAAGAACATGTTATAGGAAGGAGCAGTAATGATTTTATATGCTCAGACTGGTCCTGGACACTCGTCATATTATGGCCTATTTTATTCATTCTAGAGGATGTATCATGTTTCTATGTTACTTAGTGTTTCTTATGTCATATTAAATGAATTCTGATAGAGTTGATATTAACGTTATACTGAAGTATTTTCTCCTGCCCCTGGGGTGTTTTTTTGGGGGCTGGAACGGATTAATGGCATTTCAGTTAATTTCAAAGAGGAAAATTGATTTTGATATACAAGCAAATTGAGTTACGATCTCAGTCACGGAACAAATTAAACTCGTAAGTCAAGGCACCACTGTATTCACTTTTACAACCCCACCTATATGGTGGCCCGGTGGCTTGGATGGTGGCCTGGTGGTTAAAGCTCTCGCTTCACACACGGAGGGCCTGGGTTTGATTCCAGGCAGGTAGAAACATTTCGACGCGTTTCCTTACACCTGTTGTCCCCTAGCAGCAAATAGGTACCTGGATGTTAGCCGACTGGTGTGGGTCACATCCTGTGGGACAAGATTGAGGACCCCAATGGAAATAAGTTAGACAGTCCTCGATGATGCACTGACTTTCTTGGGTTATCCTGGGTGGATAACCTTCCAGGGTTAAAAATCCGAACGAAATCTTGTCTTATTGATATGTTAAAGAAGAAAACATGGTGATATCACACATTTTTGCAAAACTTATTACAGCTAGGCTGTGATTAGTGCAAATAATGAATCCTGAGAGTAGTCGCATTATTCAGATTTGCACTACTCAAGTACGTAATTTTTGTGCAGGATTTGAAGAGTTTTGGGAAGAAAACTAGCAATTAATTTTGCACTAAATCAAAATTTGCACCATTCGAACTCGCACTCATAGAGACCTGGCTGTACAGTTCTAGGGGACCTCACAGGTGTGATTGTTTTCTATTTTGTTTTGTAGTTACTGATTATCTACAAAGTTTAATTAATTTCTGTGAAAATTGGTAACTCAAATCAATTTGATATAATTCTAATTTACAAATATTTTCAATAATACATCTTACATTTTTACCAGATTTAGCCCAGTATTCTTGCTCAGTATAAATAAATGTGACCAATCTCTTATTTTCAAGTATAAGAGGAGTTCATTTAATTTTCATATTAAATTTAGCAGTTGTGGGTAACCTAAGATAATTTATATCTGTTTCAGGTAAAGAAAGAGGATGTCAACAATATTTTAGACTGGGAAAAAAAACAAACCGATCCCAATGGTGTAGAGGTACCATTCCGACCAGCTCGTGTTATTCTTCAGGTGAGTTACAGGGTGAATACCCATGACTGTGCACAGTAAGATCTCTTGTAATATGTGCATATGTAGCACATCTTTAATAGAATGCTATTTTTATTTCAATGCACTGGCCATATCCCACCAAAGCAGGGTGGCTCAAACAGAAAAACAAAAGTTTCTCTATGTATAAATTTAGTAATGTATACAGGAGAAAAGATTACTAGCCCTTTGCTCCTGGCATTTTAGTCGCCTCTTACGACACACATGGCTTACGGAAAAAGAATTGTTTCACTTCCCCCTGGAGATAAGAGGAAATAAACGAGAACAAGAACTAGTAAGAAAATAGAAGAAAACCCAGAGGGATGTGTATATATATGCTTGTACATGCATGTGTAGTGTGACCTAAGTGTAAGTAGAAGTAGCAAGATGTACCTGAAATCTTGCATGTTTCTGAGACAGAAAAAAGACAACAGCAATCCTACCATCATGTAAAACAATTACATACAGGCTTCTGTTTTACACTCGCTTGGTAGGACGGTAATACCTCCCTGGGCGGTTGCTGTCTACCAACCTACTACCTAGCTATTTATATTTATGAATTTAAAAATATCTGTTCATTTATGGTTTTGATGAGGTTTGTGCACCATAAATTATATAACATTTGCTCAGAGATTGTATTGCAAATGCCATACTGGCTCAGTATGGCATTTGCTGTAGTGGTCCTCATAACTTTCACAGACTGACCCACAGCTGTCATCTGAGAAAATATTTAGATTTTCATATTCATCAGATACTTGGGAGTTGATGTGTCGGTGGATGGATTTATGAAGGATGAGGTTAATCATAGAATTGATGAGGGAAAAAAAGGTGAGTGGTGTGTTAAGGTATATGTGGAGTCAAACAACATTATCTATGGAGGCAAAGAAGGGAATGGATGAAAGTATAGTAGTACCAACACTCTTATATGGGTGTGAAGCTTGGGTTGTGAATGCAGCAGCGAGGAGACGGTTGGAGGCAGTGGAGATGTCCTGTCTAAGGGCAATGTGTAGTGTAAATATTATGCAGAAAATTCGGAGTGTGGAAATTAGGAGAAGGTGTGGTGTTAATAAAAGTATTAGTGAGAGAGCTGAAGAGGGGTTGTTGAGGTGGTTTGGTCATTTAGAGAGAATGGATCAAAGTAGAATGACATGGAGAGCATTTAAATCGGTAGGAGAAGGAAGACGGGGTAGGGGTCATCCTCGAAAAGGCTGGAAGGAAGGGGTAAGGGAGGTTTTATGGGCGAGGGGCTTGAACTTCCAGCAGGCGTGCATGAGCGTGTTCGATAGGAGTGAATGGAGATGAATGGTATTTGGGACCTGATGATCTGTTGGTGTGTGAGCAGGGTAATATTTAGTGAAGGGATTCAGGGAAACAGGTTATTTTTATATAGCCGGACTTGAGTCCTGGAAATGGGAAGTACAATGCCTGCAGTCTAAAGGAGGGGTTTTAGGATATTAGCAGTTTGGAGGGATATGTTGTGTATCTTTATATGTATATGCTTCTAAACTGTTGTGTTCTGAGCACCTTTGCAAAAACAGTGATTGTGTGAGTGAGGTGAAAGTGTTGAATGATGATGAAAGTATTTTCTTTTTGGAGATTTTCTTCCTTTTTTTTTGGGTCACCCTGCCTCGGTGGGAGACGGCCGACTTGTTGGAAAACAAAAAAAATAATATTTATCTACTATTCATTAGTCACAAAACCATCTCCAGAGACTACTTCTTCAACAAGCAAGAGAACAAGAAATTTAAGATAGGATTATATATGAGGAAAATGTGTAGTGAAATGTGTGAGTGATGCAAGTTAATAAAACAGCTGTTTTCTGCCTAATGATCAGCATCACCTTCAAACACTTCTGTATCAATAAGCAAGAGAATCAAAGAATTTAAGGCAGGATAAAACCATTTCTTACATTTTAGCCTTTTTTATGCTGATAAGATTGTGTTTTAAATCTATAATAATCACTGGCACTGTATTAGCCATGTATTTTATATTTGAAGAAATAGACTATACAGGTCTCCCTCAACATTCGCGAGGGTTAGGGGATCAAGAGCCTCGTGAATGTTGAAAAACCGTGAATGTTTGGTGCCCCAATATATTGTAGGGAAATATATTACAATACTGCTTCCTTAACTTGTTGAACCATGAATAATCATAAAATACATGAAAACGTCGTAAATTGTACTAAATATATACATGTTATGCTTTAATAACGTATGTTATTTAATAACATGTATGTTAACAACATGTATGTTATTAAATAACAGACACCACCACTGCCTCCACCACTGCGAGTCCCTACTACCCTCCCTCCGACCCCCACAACTGGCAGCCAGCCCTCCCACCACTCAGTGTGGTGAGTGTTTTGTTTGTTCATTATTTGCTATTAAACTACAGAATAAATAATGTAAACTCATCCATGACTGCATATTGGAACGGCTATTAGGAAAGGTATTAGACGGTGACATCGTGTGTTTACTCTTGAACACTGCAAAGAATCGAACATTTCTGCTATTGCTAATAATAACAATAATAATACAGTGGACCCCCGGTTAACGATATTTTTTCACTCCAGAAGTATGATCAGGTGCCAGTACTGACCGAATTTGTTCCCATAAGAAATATTGTGAAGTAGATTAGTCCATTTCAGACCCCCAAACATACACGTACAAACGCACTTACATAAATACACTTACATAATTGGTCACATTCGGAGGTAATCGTTATGCGGGGGTCCACTGTAATTAATAATAATAATAATAATAATAATAATAAATACGATATAATTGAAGAAGGAAATTGTACAAAAATACGAGGGAGTGGTTGACACATCGTCAGTGTGACTTTGTTTATGTTGGAGTGAACATTAGTCTCCCTGCTCTCCAAACATTTCACAATAATTCAGCGGTTGAGGCAGTGGTATTTAATAACATATATGTTATAAATAATAATAGTACATGTTATTATTAATAACATGTATTATTATTAACATGTACGTATGTATTTAATAACATATATGTTATAAATAATAATAGTACATATTATTAATAACATGTATTATTATTAACATGTATGTTATTAAATACCATTGCCTCAATCACTGCCTCTACCACTCCAGTCACACTCACTCTACAAGCACCAAACACAATGAATTATTGTGAAATGTTTGGAAGAGCAGGGAGACTAATGTTCACTCCAGCATAAACAAAGTCACACTGACGATGTGTCAACCACTCTCTCGTATTTTTGTACAATTTCCTTCTTCAATTATATCATATTTATTATTATTATTATTACTACTACTATTGTTATTATTAGCTGTAGCAGAAATGTTTAATTCTTTGCAGTGTTAAAGAGTAAACGCATGATGTCACCGTCTAATACCTGTTCGAATAGCCATTCCAATATGCAGTCATGAATGGGTTTACATTATTTATACTGTAGTTTAATAGCAAATAATGAATAAACAAAACACTCACCACACTGAGTGGTGGGAGGGCTGGCTGCCAGTTGCGGGGGTCGGAGGGAGGGTAGTAGGGACTCGCAGGTGGCGGGAAACTTAAATATGATTTGGCAGCTGGGAATTTGGTGGCTGGGAATTTGGCGGTTGGGAATTCGCGAATGTGTGAAGCCCGTGAAAGTTGAAAACGTGAATGTTGAGGGAGACCTGTACTGTTTCAAACACCAGCATTTCTGGGTCTTAGGTAAATTTATTTAACAAGTTCTTATTTAGAATTTGGGTACATTGCATACATTTCTTAATCAACAATATTGATATCTACAGTGTATGGTTTCAAAAACTTGATGAATTTTGATAGAAGAAAAATTAAAAAAAATTTCCATATTGGATTGAAAGGCTACCTTTGTTCTTGCATGGAGCAAGCCATGCTGCTCGCTAGACTTCATTATGGGGACTCCAATAGAACACAAGTTCAGAGATTGATTTTTTGTTTTGTTTTTTCCCTACACAATTGTTAGGCTAAACTTTAGACAAAATATTGTTTGGAGCTTTTTATCAGGGAAAAATATAATACAGTGGACCCCCAGTATTCGATATTAATCCGTTCCTGAGAGCTCATCGAATACCGATAATATCGAAAACCGAATCAATTTTCCTCATAAGAAATAATGAAAATCAAATTAATCCGTGCAAGACACCCAAAAGTATGAAAAAAAAATTTTACTACATGAAATATTAAGTTTAATGCAATAGAATAATTACATTAACAATAAAATAATTGACACTTACCTTTAATGAAGATCTGGTGATGATTGATGGGATGGAAGGAGGGGAGAGGTGTTAGTGTTTAGAAGGGGAATCCCCTTCCATTAGGACTTGAGGTAGCAAGTCCTTTTCCAGGGTTACTTCCCTTCTTCTTTTAATGCCACTAGGACCGGCTTGAGTCACTGGACCTCTATCGCACAACAAATCTGTCCATAGAGCTCTGTACCTCCCGTTCCTTTATGATTTGTCTAAAATGGGCCACAACATTGTCATTGTAATAGCTGTGTTACGGTGATTTTCATCCATAAAGGTTTGCACTTCAACCCACTGTGCACACATTTCCTTAATTTTTGAAGTAGGCACAATGTATTCCACAACTGGTATAGGCTTCTCAGGGTTAGCCCCAAACCCTTCAAAATCTTTCTTAATTTCCATACTAATTCTCACCCTTTTTACCACAGGGTTGGCACTAGAAGCTTTCTTGGGGCCCATGGTGACTTATTTTGCAGAAACAAGCACCAAACACAGTGATAATATGGATAACATGGAATGTACCGAATGTATCCTTAGATGCGCGCACACTGGCTGGCTTGTAAACACTGGCACACAAGGGGCAGTTCAGGTCTCGTACGAATCGTATTGAATACCGGGTTTTCAATCGAATACCGAGGAAAATTTTTTGCGGTATAATGCATCGAATACCGGATTTATCGAATACCGATGCCATCGAATACCGGGGGTCCACTGTACCAGTATCCAGCAC